CTTTTGCCCTCTTTGTGCTTTTTACAAAACGCTATACGTGCCAGTGTACGTAGGCCGGACAATCTCCTGTCACTTTTCATGAAGGACTAATAACTGCCGTGCTCCTTTCTGAGGAGAAGCAGGTCAGTGGTGGCGGGAACGCTGACTTTTTTTTCCCGACTTCCTTTTGGTACTGGATTGGATTGATCTTTTAGACCACGAGCAGCCCAGGGGCCACCCAATACCACCCGGGTTCCAGGCAGCCTTCTCTAAGCCCCACACCAGATCAGGGCACCGCACCATGGTCTCCCTCACCAACGCTGCCATTTTCTCTCGTTTGTATGCTTTGTGCTTGCCATCCCTCCCCCGACGAGCCTGGAAGCTTCTGAGGACAGACACTGGGCTTGTTTCTCACTAAGCTGTACCACGCACAGAAGCAGACCCTCCATACTTATTTGCTGTTATCAGATCAGCCAAACAACTGAGTAAATGAATTAAGGTCGAACTACCTGACTTGAGCCGCCAACAATCAAGGGCAGAGGCAGTGACTAGTGGAACAGGAGGGCGCTGGGCAGGAAAGCACCAGGACTGGGGACATGGTGGCACAAGCAGCCTCAAGTGGAACTTAAGAAAATGATTCATTCCTTCAATTAAAAACATCTACTTTCATTTAGTCCCAAAGAATTTATGGAGCCGTAATTCTTTCCATCTCAAATCCTCTCCATTATCTTTTCCTAATTGGGGTATGTAAATTCATTGATCTAAAACTTTGCAAGCATAAACATAACTCATGTACTGATCCACCGCACTGCTAAAAGATCAAGCTTAATCAGGTTCTACCGGGTTTTTAAATTATACATGTTATTAGACAAGATTCATTTAATTTTGCATCTAACAGCTAGAGCTTATTACATTGTCTGCTCCCAGACATTCATAGCAACTCACTGTTGAATCTGTACTATGAGCCAATTTAGTCAGGAGGCAATTAATAAAATAAACTGTTTGACATAAAAGGCGCCTTTGGAATGATATGAAACATCCTTTAATGTGTATTTGAAAAAAAAAATTAAGGAAGGTATATTATCCAAGAGAAATTTCTAAAGTTGCTCCCTTACGCATCAATACAAAATTTCTTCACGAGAATATTTACGGATTACGACAGCAGTATTTCACCCAAATAAAGGAAGGAGTAGTAAAATTTTTATACAACTCGAATAATATATATTGAAAAGAACCGACCACGGTTTTCCAATACCTATTTAGGAACTGGAGGGAACAATAAAGAGCGCCAAACACGCAGGTGAGTTTCTCAATTCTGGTGGTTACAAAATAGGTGTCCTCAGCAGTTTTGGCAATGAAACGTGCTCTGTTTTCCAACCTCTCGTTATTTTTTTCCTTTCACGTTCTGATCACTTGACCAATTACCTGATAAGTCAACTAATTGGGGATCATGCTCCTTTCTAGAATTTCATTTAGTTGCAGAAAATAGGCCCATCAAGGAGGTGAAATGTCCCAATTCCAGGAAATGAGTGTTTAGAGCAAAAACAATGAAAGGAAAGATGTAAATATTCCGACCAGCCAAGCACAAGCTAGAAAGACACTCGTTTTGTCTATACCGTATCAGTGTGCCAGGGCACTCTGCAAGCATCTGCAGCATCTGTCCACCATCTCCAGAAAACCCCCAAGCAAGGGCAGAGGGTGGAAGTGGGCTCCAGAGCTGTTCTGCCCAGAGGGCTGGTCCAGCGTCTCTGAGCAAAGTGCCACAGGTTCTTTGCCAGTGGCATCTACAATCACGGTCTGCTATGGAGGAAGGCGTCCTCAGATGGGAGGAGAAAACGGGAGCACTCAGATCATGAAAGACTTTTGCTCCCTGGTTCCTCATCCTTCTTTTAAGTCCCGGAGTCTTAAACGATCTAATGAAAGCTACAGAAATGCTCCCGACTCCACTCCCCAAAGCATCTAGGTGAACACACTGGATTCTGCCCAGTCTGATGGCGCTCACTGGCAAACCCTATCCATGGACCTCCCACCCGGTTGAGAAACCTACCTCTAGAAGTCCCCCTTTGGGACATTCTATTATTTAGTGCCCAGAAGGGAATCCTCATAAAAATTTGCTTCCAAATCTGAGATTTTTGAAAAAAGCTGTCTCTCTCCTAGATATGGGTGTGATTTTGTTTCTGTGATAACACTCTTTTCTCTCTGGCTAAACTTCCAACTTATCAACCACGATTGCCCTTAAGATCTGCCTATTTGCTTCTGCCCCTGCCTCTGGTCTTGACTTCCCACGTAAACTTATATTTCCTTTGGTCCTGATCGTTTGCTTCTTACTTATATTTTTCCATTGTGTGTTTCTGTTCAAGTCTTCTCAAATGCTTCAGGGAACAAACAGACAAATAAGAAAAGGCTCTCCAAGGCCGAGTGGTTAAGTTCGCATGCTCTGCTTCAGTGGCCCAGGGTTTTGCCGGTTCGGATCCTGGGCGTAGACACGGCACCGCTCATCAGGCCATGCTGAGGCAGCATCCCACATGGCACAACCAGAGGCATGCACAACCAGAACATACAAGTATGTACTGGGGGGCTTTGGGGAGAAGAAGAAGAAGGAAAAAAAAAGAAGACTGGCAACAGATGTTAGCTCAGGTGCCAATCTTTAAAAAAAAAAAAAAAAAAGAAAAGCCTCTCTCAATTTTTAGCTTTTGATCCAAACAGTGGGAACCAAAGCGAAGGAATATGGAAGTTTTTTTCCCTTAATCAAAAGGCAACTATTTTCTAGCTCCTGTTAGTCAGTTCCAGTCATTTCCTTTCACTGAATAATCAAACGTAAGCATAAATGTTTTCCGAGCTACAATTAAGAAGCCTTTTGGCCTTTAATTAAAGGTAGACTTTCTGCCACGAGTTTATACTTTGATCAATGATAATATCCACATATTGACTATGAAGAGACAGTGCCAATTAATCAAACAAGAGTATGTCCATATGTGCCCGTGGATAAGGGCTCTTAATCTGGGTCCACAGGGATCTGCGAACCTGGGAGGGAGAAAACTACATTTCCAGTAACCTCCCTCTGACATTCAGCATTTCCTTCCATTATGAAGTTAGGCAGAAAACGGAGGTATTAACGCTCCTGTGACTCTGTCACCAACAGAAATCACCAGGATTTTTCATATCCCATTACAGTGGTTGCAGGTCCCCCACAGTATCGTTAAGCTGAGCATCACTTCGAAATTACGGCAGTTACTAGTCCTGCTATTTATTAAACTGTGTTATCAGCAAACAGCTCAGCAAAGAAGCGTATATTTTACTCTATCAAATAATTTTTTAAATATTTTGATAACTGTATTTCAGTATAATTGGTTTCCTTGGAAATCCCATGCATTTTATTTTACACATTTAAAAACCTTATTCTCAGATAGAGTCAGAGGCTTCACCAATCTGCCAAAGGGGCACGAAACAGGTTAAGACGCCCTAACTTGGAACAAAGAGTTGACACAGCCAGCAGCCAGCACAGCCCGTCTGCCACGACACCAGGTGGCAAACGCTGGCGGAGCGGGAAGACATCACCGCTCCCAACCACGCTGCTGCTGATGACACACCTAATCAGAAACAGCTTTTCAAGTAATGCTCCAAGTTCCCTAATTAGTAATATTAGATAAATTAGCTCAAACCACTTTCAATCAGCCTCAGCAGAAGGGAGGCATTGTCGCTGATTGCCTGGATGCTTTCAGGGCTTATAATGGATGTGAAGGAGCCAAGGAGCCCCGGGGCTGGCTGACTGCTCCGGGTCACCACTGCTCAGCATCCGGTGGCACGTGGCACGCTGGAAGATCTGAGGTGGACAGCCCCGGCCCATTCCAGGGCCCGGCGATATTTCAACCAAGGTGTGCCCCTGTCTTGCACACATATAATCACCCTTTTCTGTTTCTGTGTGTTAGGCTGGATGGTAAATTGTCTTTAAACCTTCACATTTCTTGGAGCTTGGAATAGGCACTTAGAAATAAAAACTCATGGCTAATTATACAGCTGAGGAAATGAACGTGGGTTAACTCAGCTTCTTTTAAAAACAACAATAACCACAACAATAAATCCTACAGTAATATGGACAAAAGGGTTTCTGTCCAACGGAAACTTTCTGAGGACCCATGGTGTGGTAGGCCATCCTGGCACTTATCACCTGTATGACAGGGACTGAGAGGCTGGTTGCACCAAAGAGACTACCGGTAAGGAAGCAAGGTGCGGGTCAGTCCTGAGAGACGTCCGCCAGGGAACTCCGTGGCCAACCGGTGGGGGTTCACTGAAGGCAAAGGCTCGAGGTGATCCCAAACCCAGCCGATCCGTCTTGACTTCAAGCCTAAAGAAAAACCGATCTGAGTCACCTGGAGAACACCCAACAGCAGCATCGTTTAGATCATCTCCAACATGAGGAGACTGTCACTCCTGGCTAGGACCACCAGAGAGGACAAACCAGTTACGAGATTCCAATCCATGGACCGCAGTGCAGCTATAAAAATCTGACATAAACCCCTATGACTCGACACGAAAGGATTTTCCAGGCAGATGGAGAGGGAAAAAGTCAGTCACAGAACAATGTGCACAGAATGATGACATTTATCTAAGACCAGGCTGCTGACATACACACTTTTAACTACAGTGACCCCAAGGGAAGGACCCGGGTGGAGGTTACACAGTTTATTCTAGATAGAGATTTTAAACCTTTACAAAGAGAATGTATTCACATATTACTTGTATAATAAAAATCTAATAAAATAACAATTAAATATCTCTATCTACCCAAGTTTGAATCCTACAAAAGATTATAATGACAAAAAAAAGAACTTCATGTTTTCATGCGTCCGTATTCCTTATTTCTAGGTCAAGCACAGATTTTTGTCTGTTTTATTCACTGATGTAGCACAAACATCTAGAATAGTGCCTGGCAGAAGAAACACTCATTGGAGATTTGTTAAATAAATGAATTGATTATTCATTTAATCCAGAAATTTGTACCAGGTGCCTACCGCATGCTAGCTACTTGCTAAAGATCATGGAAAACATACAGTGATTTATTTGACCTGCATTCACTGAATTCCTTTCACATGCCCAAAAGTGTTGAGTTGTAGATGAAAATATACAGAGACACACCCACTGCGCTTTAGGAACTTAAAATTAAGCTTGGGGGAAGGGGAAACTATGGAGGTTGGGAGGACACGATAAGGCCTTTTCCTGGCCAGAGCCTTAATCCCGGCTTTGATTTTCAAAATTATGCTTCTGAGGCTTTGCTTATCATAGTCTGTCTTATATCAGAATTATGTTCAAGCGTTTGTGCCCGCCCAGCTGGGGGAAAATGAATACCAACCTTCTTGGATTGTGTGAACGACGAAGGACAAATGGCTTATTCTTTGCCTGAAGCCCAGCACACCAAAGCATTCCATCTCCGCTCGATGGCTTTATTTCTCAATTCCACCCATTCATCACAGAATTGGAAATCTCCAAGTGGGGAAGGAGTCAGGACGGTCATTCACCATAGCCACCCTTCTCTGGACCTTGGCACAGTCCTTCACGTCTAATTTAAGGGGAGCGGCTACCAAACTAGATGAAACAGAACTTTTCAGGTCTCACTTGGGTCTTTGCAGAGAACCGCGATCCCATTTATCAGCAATTCTTCTTTACAGGCTCATCGCGTCCTGCATTCCTAACCTCCACTCTTGATTCCTTTACTCTGCAGCCCTTTTACAGCCATATCTGCAGAGGCCCAGTCCTTCTCTACCTTTCCACCTAAACGGATTACTCTGCGCTTATCTATGGCAAACATCACCTTTGTGCACACACCCTCTCCTTCAATTTGTCAGAATCATTTCTGAATTCAATTCCATTTTCATATTCAGTCACTTAGGTTCCAACAGAAATGGTCCCAAAAATTCAAATATGAGATACCTGGGATCATTTTAACTTTGAAACTAAAATGGTGTGACCGTGCAATGGGTGGGTAGATGTTACCTTGGGGAATGACATTAAATCAGAGAGAGGAAAAAGCCTTCTGCTTCTAGTGATGAAAGGTTTCTTCAGGTGTAAATCCAAAAGTATCGATATTACAGATTCATAGGTTCATATCCCAAATCCTTCGGTCCAGCTCTGGTTTGAAATTTGGAGTTTTTCAAACTTTAAAACAGCAATGCTGGGCATAGAGCACAGACCAAATAACACCTTAGGTTGGGTCTCAGGCAGCACCCCATAACAGAACACAGTAATATTTCCCTAGCAAAACACATATCCTCACTAAATAGTCTAAACAAAGAGTATAAACATGACATAGCCTCATGTCAGCTCAGGTCAGTTTTGCTGCCAACTCAGTTAGTTCCAAACTTAAGAAAAAACTCTGAGTTTCCAGAGCTTTCGTAGCTTTGCAATGGCAGAGAAGGGATTACGCGCATGCACGTGACCCCAGTCAAAGACCCAGTTCCAGCTCTCCCCACCGCTCCACACAAAATCCTTCAGAGCAAACATGTGTGGCTGTTCTTCTGAATATTCCGGTCAAGTTCCGTTTTGAACCCTGCATAGCAGAGGTCACCCTGCTTTAGTTATTCAAACCGTTGTTTAGGGAGCAAAACAAAAACCTACAAACTTCAGGCATTCCCGTTTGAACGCTAAGCATCCTAAGTCTAAAGCAATGACAACTCTCTTGCTCAACACCATTATCTTTAACAGCTGAAGGGAATTTTCACAAATTACTTGCCAACACACAAAAACTACATAATACATGGAAAAGCAAAAAACGCAGGGCCCTGTGCCTTTTAGCCTATTAAGTGTTCCCCAAACTTGATTGTCCCCAGGACTCACCTGGGATCTTGTTAAAATGCTGACTCTGTTTCATCGGGTCAGGGTGGGGCACAGATCCCACATTTCAAACAAGCTCCTGGCTGCTGCTCTGGGAGCCACCCTTTGAGTAGTGAGGCTGCAGGGGGGCGTGCATGAGGTTTGGAAAGGGAGAGGCTTGAGTTAGATCCTGAGTCCACCGCTTACAGGCTGAGAGACCCTGGGAAAAGAACTTAACTGCTCTGAGCCAGCTTCCACCATCAGTTAAAATGGAAATAATCGTGACAACTCCTTTTCGAGACTGTAATGAGCAAGTGAGCAAGCAGCACAGTTCCTGGCAGATAACAGACCCTGAATTCCATCCTATGCCACCTGTGGTGAGCTGAATAATGGCCCCCCCAAAGATGTCCACATCTCAATCCCCAGAACCTGTGAATGTGTCACCTTACAGGGCAAAAGGGGAATCTGCAGATGTGATAAACTGAAGGATATTGAGATGGAGAGATGATCCTGGGTTATCTGAACAGGCCAATGTAATCAAAATGCTGTTTATGAGAGGGTCAGAGTAATAGAGATAATATGACAGGATGAACTCAAAGCTCAGAGAGGAGAGAAGATGCTATGTTGCTGGCTTTCAAGATGGAGGAAGGGGCCACCACCCAAAAAATGTGGGGGGCCCCCAGAAGCTGGAAGCTCTACAAGCAACGCAGCCCTGCAGACCCATTTGAAACTTCCGACCTCCAGAACCATAAGAGACCACTAAGTTTGCAGTACTTTGTTATAGCAGCGATAGGCAACTCGTACCCTATCTATTGGGCTAATGTGAACGCAGGCTTGCCTCACTTTACACAATAGAGGATTTCCTGAGGCTGAATTATCAACTGAAACTAAATCATGTATCAGTTGCCCAAGTGGAGGTCACACACAAAGAACTCTTCAAGGAGACTGCATATCAAGGGGAGAATGAGTCCGGCATTGCGTGTTTCAGTTGGTTAGGATGCTTGTTAATAATAAACCATTCTAAAGGCCGAAAGGAATCTCTTACACTCTAATTGTATCATCACGTTCTAATCTGTCAGCTTCTCACATAATTGCTGAAATCTAACAGGGCTCCTGGGGACAAGATCAGTGGGCTGATGCCTCAGCATCAGGAGGACTGAAGAAAGCAACCCTAGGCTCAGCGAAGGACTGGAAATCAATGGTCTCCGAAATAAGTCGGACAGAGAAAGACAAGGACCACGTGATTTCACTTACGTGTGGAAGATAAACAGATACACAAGGAGAACAGATTGGTGGTTACCAGAGGACAAGGAGGTTGGGGGGAGGTGGAAGGGGTAAAGAGGCACACGTGTATGGTGACGGATGCAAACTAGACTATTGGTGGTGAACACGCAGTCTATACAGAAACTGACATATAGTAACGTACACCTGAAATTTACACAATGTTATGAGCCTATATGACCTCAATAAAATAAAATTAAAAAGAAAATCAATGGTCTCAATGTTTGTACAAATCTTCAACTGCTATTGATAACGTTGCTTATCCCATAGAGACGCTTTATAAAATAAGAAAATACCAAGGCAAGCAAAAAGATGCAGAATGAAAACGTGTGTCTCAAAACTAAATGGACTTTGTCCTATAATTCTTGGGCCTTCTCCTGCAGGTCTTGGCACCAACGGCTTCCCTTCCCAGACTCTAAGCTCCATGGAAGGCCCCGGTCTCTCATTTCCAGCTATTACATACACAGCAGCTAGCACTTACTTTGCACACAATAAATATTTGTGGATGAACAAATATTATGATGGATATTTATAATGGAAAAGTGTATTATGACTTTCACTAGAAGAAGCATTACTCTTAAAAGTTCTTTTTCTCCAGTTTGAAACTAAAACTACTTGGCCCGAGATATTATTTACGGTAGAATTAAAAGTATGCTTTCTGATTTTATTTGCCTATTAATATATGCATTAGATAATTAACCATGCACTAAGCAGTCAAAGCAAATAATTACTTTTCTAGCGTCTGCCTTCGCATATGAGCTAAATAAGGGCTAAATAGACACTAGTTGCATATTAAAAAAAGGTAACTAGCTTTAAAATGTTCTGTTTAATCCCAGACCACAATATTCAAAACAGTTTCAGTCCCTTCGCTGGCTCAGTTACAACCTCATACAACAGTCCCTCTTTAGAACAGGCAGGAATTCTGCTCGGGTTGCACTGAATATAAAATCTCTATTCGAAAGTTTGCCAGTTCACATTTACGAGGTCTTCTGAACAACTGGTAGGGTTGGCCATAAAAACTGTATCTTTTAATTTACTTATGTTCAGTATACTTTAAGAGGCAATAAAATCACATGGAAAGCTTTTATTTTAAATCTTATTTTGAAATATGACTGAATACATTAACATAACTCAGAACAAGTCGGTAAACTTCTACAAGAACATGTTATATAATTCTGGTGAGTCTCGTAATTATTCTGTTTTCAGAGAAAAGAAACCACTGGACAGAAAAACGTTAAACTCGGAATCTGATTTTCAAGTGTCCGAGAAAAGCAGAAGTTTGCTCACGGTGTGGACGAGGGTGAGAGCCTGAGCTGATGCTACAAGTGCATTTTGGGCCAAATGATTGCAAAGACACGGAGAACTGCAAATCAGACCATCTGGAAGGAGCACGAGTCTGTTTGTCAACTAAGAACCTTCCCTCGGTTTACTTGAAACCAAGACTCCAAGTCCTGCTGAGATTCCCAGCTCCTTGGGAAACCAGGACACTGCCTGGCCACTTCAGCACTGGACGGTCTCAGCACCCAGGAAGCCTCGGCCGAGAGTCACCAAAGCGCGGCCAAGTTCACAGGCGCTACAATTTTACCTCTCTACAACACGAAACTCAGGACCATCCTCGAGAATGTGTTTCTGCAGCGACCTGCTCAGACACTCACCAGCAGCACAGAGGTAGAGGGCCATCTGTCCCTGTGCTGTGTAACCCCAGACTGCCGAAGTTTTCAATTGTTGCTGCTTCAATGGGCTCTTGGCTCAGAAACCGAGGCTCTAAGAAGGTAAGGGGTCTGTCCAAGTTTACCCAGTGCATCAGTGGCAGATGTGGGGCTGGCAGCCCGGACACCTGAGCCCTAGATCAGGTCTTTGTCCACTGCCTTATTTCCCCGCTTCACCATCTTGCCACCTTTGTGCAGCCCCAATAGCAGGACAGGCTGCTTCTCCAGGGACGACCTCACTGGGTTCTACTCAGCGGGAGGTCAACGACGTGGACATGTCCACAATCATGACTTTGTGTAAAACACAAGTAAACAAAATGAGGGACATCGGAGGTTCTCCCTGCCGGTTACACTGCCTGGACTTCAGGGAGAGCAATTCCAGGGCAGCCCTTTTTCCAAGTGCCACATCTTCATTCGGGGATTGTTCTGGATAGCTGGGCTGCCAGACAAGCGAGCCTGGATGGGGAGGAGACAATGCACCTGGGGCTATTGCAGAGCGCCTCGGCACCTAGAGGCGTTAGAAATCACAGCAGGACTCGACAGTCTTGGTTTACAAGGAAACGTTCACCAAAAACAAATACCCATGGCCGTCGCAGCACTTTCTGCAGTGGTCTTCTGGTCATCTATGTTCCACTTCACAGAGACTGAGACACAGATAAGAGTGGCCATGGGCGCCCGCTCTGCCTCCCCAACGGGCAGGGGCAGTTTCCACTTGCTTATGCTTGCTCGCTGGACTTTATCCTTCCTGAGAAAGAAGGATATCAGAGTAGGAAAAAAAAAAGAATGGGGAGGAAGTAAGTTCTAGAAGGCATCTGTTTTTGTATTCCCAGTATCCCACTTTTCTTTAGGGGAACCATTCTGTTGTTCTGATCACCGGCTTGCAGTGGAGCTGATCCTGCAACCTGGCTCCAGGGGACCATGTGAGCTGGATGGTGGAAGGACGTCAGTCTAGGACTCCGATTGGGCCACCAAGGCACTTTCTTTCTGTTATGGTCTCTGTTAGAAGGACATAAACCTAGAGGGCTCCCAGGAGCCAGTACCCAGAGAGCGCCTGCATGAGAATGAATTCAACCCAGAGGAAAGCACAGCGGAGTGATGAAGAGACCAAGTCCTGATAATAACCTCTGTGCCCCTGGATCCAGCCATTCCTGAAGCCCAGATATGCCCCTGGACTTTACAGTCCCACAGGCAATACATACCTTTAAAAAAAATTAATCTAGTTTAAGTTAGATTTCTGTCACTTGAAACTGAAAACGTACTAACAAATACCCAAGAAATAAAAGCATAAGAAGGGGGGAAGCAAGAAGAGAAGATTACATTTATGAATATAGTATCTGCAAGCGGTTCAAGTTTGTCCCTGGAAATGAAGAAAGGTGACACGTGGGAATCTGTTCCATTTTTCATACTAAGCTCAGATCATCAGAACTGTAGCTCTGCTTAATTACTGTGATTAATCTCGCCAAATTCTAAATATAAAATGAGTGTGCATTTTCTGATGTTCGATGATACTGCAACAGTCATGAAGGAACGAGCCGTTACTGAATAAAGACATCTTTCAAGAGAAATCATTTTTTTCTGCCCAAATGCAGTCATGACTGGGTGGAGGAGGAAAGGTCACAGCGATACCCCAAGTCTTACCTGGCATGGCATGGACGAGGTCCCCACACAGAACAAAGAATTTGGGTTTGGGGTTCAGCCTGTTGACGGCCCGGACAGCTTGCTCAGTTAGACGCGTCTCCTGTCCCCACTCATCACCGCCACTGTCACACTCCCCAGTGGACCAGGCCTTCATCAGTCCAAACTGGGGGTCTGCCCCTTGGATGAAGTAGAACGGGCCTTTCCACTCCCTTTCTTTCTCTTTTAAAAAAAAAAAGAGAGAGAGAAAAGAAATATTACAAAATCTGTCAGGGATAGCATCCAGGTTACCGTGCGAGCGGATACAATATTTTTCTTAAATTAAGTAGGTCATTTTAATAAGCTGCTGTTCAAACATACCATTTTCCTGTCATAGTCTAGAGGATTTTGATTTATACTAATTATGCCTGGGACCTGGTGATTCCCCAAGGCCAGGAAAAACCATGTGGGCTGCAGCAGCCACGCAGCCAAGCTGTTTGTTTAAAAGCCTGACGGCCTAAATGGAGCGCACAGGCACAACCGCATGCTGTATGGAGGATATTAATGGCCAATAATAGTTTTTTAATTAGAATTAAAAATACCCAAAATTGAAAGCTGCCAGAAGTATTATATGTAAATCACTAAGTGAAATGCTTCCAAATCTTTGATGCCAGGCTTAATGGTACAATTTGCACTGTTTCGGGGATGTGACAGAATTTTAATTATAAAACTTGGAGCTTGGAAGCTCCGGCTATCTGGTGGGAAAAGCAGTGCCAAAAATGAAATCTTGAAACGAGTTAGTCAATGTGAAAAAAAAAATGGATGCTAACATTTCAAAGGCAGCACCATGTGGGCATAAGTGAGGTGTGAGGCTGGGGGCAGGGGGAAGAGGGGAACGGAGACGGGGTTCTTCAGGTGCTTAGAAAGGGCGCTAGGTCACATGCACCAAAATTATCAGGCTTGCCCTTTTTGTTGGTTCTGCGGGCCCGAAGCTTCGGGGACCACAGGTCTCTACCCTCATCACCAAAAGAACTGTAACCAGTGCCTGCTCCTGCAGAGCCGGAATGGCCACATGGGCACAGAAGTCCCACGCATTTCAAACTTTTTTTTTTTTTGGTCACAGAATCCTTTCTTCAAACAAAACCTTATGTGGCAGATCAATGTTGAAAACACGGAGCCTACTCTGCCCAACCGGGATCTGGGGACAAAGCAGTCTGAAGACCCCCAATCTACAGCCCCCACGTGTATCCTCTGAGGAAACTGAGGCCCAGAGAGGTGACATGACTTACCTAATGGCCCACCAGCCATCAGTGGCAGGGACAAAACTACCCCACCATCTTGAGACTATTTTCCTCTTTTTAAGAAATTAATGCATTTGCATGTTACCTAAATAAGTGGCACTTCCTTTGGAAGTCATGAAAATACTATAATTTCCAAAAAGCTCCTTGGAATCATATTGTGTCTACGTGTTTGGTTCATTCGTTTATTTGGTAGGTATTTACTGAGAGCCCACTGTTTGCCAGGCCCAGGCGAGCTGCTGACAACACGAGTGGACCAAGACAGGTGAGGTCCCTGCTCTCCCGGGGCTGAGCTCTCATGGGTAGACGCAAACAAGGAAATAAGCGGCGAACAGAGCCAGAGGGTGCTACGGGCCACGAGCCCGTTCTGGAACAATGGCTGATTTTAACTGGGCGCACAGGGACTCTCTCTGAGATGACGTCATTTAAGCTAAGATCTAACTGGCCAGAAGGAGCCAGTCGTAACCTTCTTCAATTCCATGGCCACCCTCCCACCCACCACACCTAGCTGACTATCAGCTTAGAGTGGACCTCTGGCTGTCGGCCTCCCTTCCTTCTTAATTCCTTTTTCAGAATTGAAAAAGACACACATGCAAACAAACTACCTATATATACTTGATAAAACAAACGGTACATGCATGTTAATCCACTCGTTCTTGATTGACAGCTCAGAACATTAGCCGCTCAGTCACATCACAACCAACCTGAACTCAATCACAACAAGGACTGCACGAAACCCTGCTGTGTGCATCTCATTGCTAAGAACAGCCATTCAGCACCACAACGGATTACGTGTGGCAGAGAAAGTTCAAGAGGCCCCAAAGATCCTGCATCGTGATACTCACCTTCTTGTGCAATCCCCTCCCCTGGAGTGTGGGCTGGATCTCCTGACTTACTTCTAACAAGCAGAATATAGTGACGGGATGTCCCTTCAGAGATGAGGCGGGACCAAGATACAGAAACAACCTAAAAGTCCATCGATGGATGGATGAATGGATGTAGAAAATGTGGTAGACACCTGCAGTGGAATATTATTCTGCCTTAAAAAAGAAGGAAATCCCACCACTGGCACAATATCGAGGGACCTGGAGGGCATCAAGCTAAATGGAATAAGCCAGTCACAGAAAGACAAATATTGTATGATGTCACTTATATGTGGAATCTAAAATAGCCAAACTCATAGAAGCAGAGTAGAATGGTGGCTGCCAGGGGCTGGAGGTGCTGGTCAAGGGTACAAGTTTCAGTTATGCAAGATAAAGAAGTTCTGGAGATCTACCATACAGCCTAACACCTATAGTTAGAATGCTGTTTTATACGCTTAAAGTTTGCTACGAGGGTAGATCTTATGTTAAGTGTTCTTACCATACACATGAAAAATAACAACATCAATAATAATAATAAAGGGGGCAGGAAGAAACTTTGGGGGGCAATGGATATGCTTATGGCCTTGACGGTAGTGATGTTTCACAGGTATATACTTATCCCCAAACTCAATGAGTTGTACACATTAAATAAATACAATTTTTACATGTCAATCACACCTCACTAAAGTGGTTAAAAAAAAAGAGAGAGATTAGGCTAGAAAAAGACCATGACTTTCATCTTGCTTGCTCTCACACTGTCTCGGAGCCCTGGCTCTGGAGGAGAAAGGCTGCCGTGTTGTGACTAGCCCTATGCAGAGGCCAACGTGGCAAGGAACTGAGGCAACAGCCTGTGGAGAACCGGGGCCCTCCATGCAACAACCCACAAGGAGCCGAATCCTGCTGGCCACCTCGTGAGTGACCTCGAAGAGGACCCTTCCTGGTTGAGCTTCCAAATGAGCCCACGGCCCTGGGTGACCCCTGACTGAACGCTGTGAGACCCTGCGGCAGAAGGTCCCAGCCACGCTGCACGCAAAGCCCTGGTAGAAGCTGTGAGATGAGGCTTGTTGTCTTCTTGTCTCAAGATGCCCAGTTTCAGGGTAATTTGTTCCACAGTAACAGACACTTATGGGTCAGGCACTAAAGATCAGGGTCAGGAAGGAGGCAGCAAGATTTCCTCAAGAGCTGAAGGCTGGTGTCTCGAAAAAAACTGAGGTTCTGATTTGCGTTGTCAAGTTGTTAGCATCATTTATTTATCTGAATAATAACCTTTTTACCCTGATGAATGCTTGTAGCTACGTCCCTGTTTCTGAGGCGGTTTGCAGAACCATTTAAACTGGATAAATTAATCAGAAGCCGATCAGGGAGGTGATCGTCACCCCAAGGTTAGAGCATAAATCAATCTTCCACAACAAACAGAATTATTAAACAGTTTTCTACGGCAAACGATTTAACAAATACAGTTTCCTATGACAAATAGTCATCGTCTTGAAAAGCCAATAGTCCTTGGAGGTATTAAAATAAATCTTTCATTATTATACGTGTACTTAGTAAAAACTTAGAATCTCCATTTTATAATGACAAGGTACAAAATAAATAGATTTGACCTAAAATGAATGACAGCTCACACATCAATATTCAATCTACTTTACCTATGTAATAAAGGCAATTTGTTGACTCAGGGCTCTGCATTCTCAAAAGCACCTGGATCCTCTTAAGGTTCCCACTACAGAAGCTTGTGGTCTTTGGTCTCGTCTTCATTTTAATCAAGGCTGAATTAAAGCTATTTGAGGCTTACAATGCTTGGTTCTGGAGAGAGGAATCTTTCGTAAACATATATGTCCCCCATCCCTCAACAGGGCAGGTTTTTACAGGAGGAAAGTGACTTCCTAACAATACTTGCATTAAATTATTTCATCCAAGTCCAGAGTGACCCCGAGGACAGGGTACAGGTGTTCATTACCTGACATCTACGAGACCTGGGAAAGCTTATGACGCCATCCCTTCCAGGGTGGAGCAAGTGTCTGCGCCCCAGGCATGGGCCAGCTTCTCTCTCTAGACTCCCCGAAAGCACTGTTCTGGCAGTTTGGCTACACTGAGGCTCATCCCCAAAGCACCCAGATACATAATCTGCATTAAAAAGGACACTTAAGAATCCAGTGGTTTTGTTTTTATTTTCCCAGTCAAAGAACTGCTTAGTTAAAGGGTCAATGCCTGATAAACCCAAACTGAGGAACAGAATTGCCTAGAAACGGAGGCTGAGGGAGAGGCAGAAGGCGAGGATGACGAGAGAGGAGCCAAGACGCAGGCTGCGAGAGGGCAGGGCTGGGCATACACCTCAGTCCTCAAGGTGTGGCCGGAGGACCAGCAGCAGCGTCACCTGAGAGCTTGCTGGAAAGGCAGAATCTCGAGCCCACTGCAGACACAGTGAGTCAGAATCTACATTGTAACGAAGCCTCAGGTGAACTGTATGCAAATCCAAATTTAAGAAGGGCCGGCCTGCAACTGATCAGAGAACTGCTTAAGCAAGTTTGCCAAGAAGCAGATGCAAAATGACTTTTCTTTCCCTAAATTGAAATAACGTCTTGGAGGATTTGCAGTTGTCGCTAGAGGTGGTGTTTTTTGCCCATTTTCCTATTCACTTTTAGGTCCCTGTCTGTGTCCAGCTCAAGTATTTGAGTCTGAACAGTCCCTGATCTTACCCACTATCTAACCATCACCCTTTAAATTGCCTTTCAAAACCAAGTCAAGGTTTTTGGTAACAATTCCAAGATTCAAGGTAAGAACTTGAACAAGGTATGAAGGAATTCATCACTAATTCGTGAGTTCTAACACTTTAGATTTTACCTGACTTTGCAGCTTACAAGGAAAGCACCCATTAGCAAGCATGTGTGCTTTCAAACACACAACAGAGAGGTCTGTTATTTTTCTTCCAAAATGGATGAAAGAATGCAGTTAGGGATTCTAATTGGTAACTCTGATAAGACAAAGGTCAAATTGAGATAAATTAAGCAGGTGTAGAATGAATGAATTAAAGAATAAGGTGAATTGATTAAATTAAGATCTCATTTCTGATCCAGATGGT